ATTTCTATTCTTGAAATTCCTTAAAAACCAGGAGGCATGACATCAGCTACTATTTTTTGCACGTGACATCCGCCGCAGGTTGATCGCACGTTTTCGCACGCAACCCCTTATGGTGGCACACATTCCATCGTATAGAAATCGCACGTTTGAATCACTCCGAGATTAAATGCTACGATTATTCAAATGAGATTAGTCCTAAGTTTTAATTGGACGATTTTATGTTATGTTTAAGACACGAACAGCATTGTTTAATCAAGGTCAAAAACTTGAAAAAATTTGAGTGCGAACTCGAAGCGCAAGAGTTTTTAGAATTGACAAAACATGAGCTGTGAGTGTTTAAAAACTCTTCCTCTATTATTTTTTTTCTTGATAAAGAGTTGTTTCTTGACATGGATTGTTATGGTGTTTTCCTATCTTCAAATATATATAAACGCTCCGCTAGAACCTAAAGGTCCTTGCGCGTCAGTAATTAATTCCTTGCATTCAACTGGACAATATGGCTACTGAATATCTATGACTTTTTTTAATGTTACGTACTAGCCTGAAGTATCAAAAGAAAACTTACTTTCAAGATATGATTATCCATTTTTCGGTGAGTCAAGCGAAATTTGTCGATCACTATCATCTTATCAATTGGCCGCCATGTCTGGCAGTCAAGGTACATGCAAGAAGAAGCATTGATAGAGCAATTCCGTGGCGGAAGATTTATGACCATTTCATCTCTGTCCGCTAAGAGTTTTAAAGGAGTTTCCTCACTCTCCATTGGAAACCGTAGTCCACAGTCTGTAAAAACATGAAATATTTTAGAAGTAAGAAGGAGTAAATCCGTGTCATATTTCTTTGCTCATAGCCTAGACGTTTATTCCCAGTATGCTAAGATTTTTAAAGGGATTTCCACACTCTACAGAAGTTCACAGTCTGTAAAATCGTGAAATTTTTTGGAGTTAGAAGGAGTAAAACCTTGCCATATTTCTTTTCTCAGAGTCTAAAGTGATTTATTTCTATTATCGTGTTCTTCTGGTTACGTCGAATTGTTTCAGCATGCTGTGGTCTTCATTTCAGCATGTTTTAGCCTCTTAACGCTTAATTATATCTAATCAACCACCTGTCGAGTCATTAATACCATCTTCAGAATAAGGCTGTTATGCGCGCTTGTCTCGGCGCAACTAGCTAGAGTCGACGGCGCAATATATTTACCACGGTTTGCTTGTGTCAACAATTCAGAGCAGGTGAACTGCCCCTGTATGGAAAAAGGGGCTATGTCACGAGGCTGTTTGCTATCTTTCTAAAACCTAAAACGTTTTTCTCATCGATTGAATTCCAAAACTAATGGTCTTAACTCGTTTTGTCAATAATTAGACATTGAAACTGTTTCCTGTCGTCTGTTGTAACGGATCACAAGGATGGACATAGATTAAAACTTGAAAAAGTTGAGCCACAGCGTTTTGAATATGCTATGCCTGCAGAAATCACCAAAAAAAGTTATTATGGTTAGTGCTCCCAAATGATAATGTTTGATATCTTCTTCATAACTATTCCATAACTTTACAGGAGCATTTTAAGTATGGGTAAAGACATTAGGGACTTTAAGATCCAACGACGCGACGGTAACGAGAACGTCGCTTAAAAAGTGAATTTACGTTCTTTCAGTCTTTATCGCAATTATTCCTACCCACTTACTTTGTCGAATGTAGGCGAACCCTCCTGGAGCTGAATTCCTAGGCACCATATCCAAGTACAGTAAGAGAAATAAAATTTCGTGGTTGCTTGTTTACGTCCTTGGTAAAACGCGAAATTAGGTATGTTCACGTCGTAGTCGTGCAAAAACGGGCGGAGAAATGTACAAAAAAGCATGGTGCACGTGCAAAGTTGTTGTTTTGCTAATCAAAGCTATTGGGTTTTTTTACGTTCTCGTTACCGTCCGCGTCGTTGGATCTTAAAGTCCCTATTAAGTAATGACTTCAACCCTGAATTAACCTAAAACAGCAATATCCTTGAGAGACAAGTAAAAACTGTACATGCATCATCTTGTTCTTTTTGATGACTTTTAGGGCAAGGTTTCTTACCAAAGTTACTAATTCAACCGGCCTTTTTGTAACTTAACTTGAATGTAAGCAGACTTGACGTAACGGTCGTAATCTCGTGCATACGTTGTATTAATTTTTAGCTCGTAGCATCATTACAATCGCAACATAGACAAGGGTTAACAAAGACAAAAAGCCAATATCCAATAATTACGCAAGCATGAAAATCTTTTTTACCTTATTTATTTTTTTAATTGTTGTTGGGGTTATAAGAATGGCCAGCTTTGGTTAATCACGAACGTCGTCTTCATAAATGAAATATATAAACAAAATAAAAGAAACAAGACGATAACTGCCTGCCAGTAAATAAAAGAATTGGACGGCTATTTCCGCAGTTACAAAATCGCCTTTTCATTCAACTTTTAAGAATAATATCTCAGATATTCGTCAGATCTAAGTCGGAAATTCACAGTCATGCTAGCAACGGCAGTGGCTTATAGCAACAAAAACAAAAGACAATACAAGCAACAACAATAAAAGTAACTGAAAAAAAAGCCTATAGGTAAAATGGTGTTGGTCAACAGAACAAGGAAAAACGGCTGTATAGTTGCTGTTAATTAATAATAAAAAAGGGGTTACAGTAAGTAATTTTTATAAAATGTACCTTCAAGTTCCCTAAAATCTTCGTTATCCACACATTGCCATTTTCCTTTGAAGAAACTAAATGTTGCGGCATCGTTGCTGCAAACGCATCTGTCAGAAGCCATTCCGGCCGAAACGCCTAAAGCATTAAACTTAGAACAATCCACATTACTTCCAAAGGCCGGGACTATCCGAAAACCATCCACCATTGAATTCACTGGCGCAACTGATAGAAAAGAAGGTCTGTCTATAATAAGTTGCTGATGCAGATATTCCTTGCTTGATTTAAACACCAGGAAAAAGAAAATAACGAAGAATAAATACCGCATTTTTTAAAACAAACTGGATGAGAACACAGTGAGAAGGCTTTGAATTAAGTACTGTGATTCATCTCTTGAATCAAAGGCCCCATAAGAAGATTCGATGAGACTTCTTTTTTCTCTCGTGTTTGAGTTCAATCTCCTCGCCTGGACGAATTAATGCATTTTTTTATCACACGAAAATGTTATTCACTGAATAAAAGGCTAATACCCAAAGTTAAATAGCGATACAATATCGTTTAATTTAATTGCCTTCGTGTGGGACAATAGAAAAATAAATATGGCTTTATCTACATTCTCGCGAAAATTATAAGGTCGAGTATAAAGTTTCTGACATGCATATCCGGACCTTTTTAATTAACCGATAATAAAAAAAGGACATCTGAAAGGGAATTAGCTGACAAATGCCTGAAAATTAAACCTCCAACTGCATAATTTTAAATCATTTCCTAAATTGTACATTTTTTACATTATTTTCTACAGACGAAAGTTATTGACTACGGCCTAGTATTAGTGTTTAACTTTGGATATTCCTCTTTTTCATAACAGACTATTTATTCGGTTGTTGAAAAACATTGAACGAGATTATATTTTATTCTACGTGCAGTTTATTCGTAATATAAAGTCTGATGTTGGCGACCCTAAAATTAAAGTTATACAACCAAATCGACATAGAATTTATACTCTCAGTAAAAATTATTAACATTCATATTGGAAACCTAGTTATGTTGATGTTATGCTATTCTAGACTCTAATAAAGTTTTCTTATGCTGCATTGTAGGTTTGAAAACATTTCCCACAATCAGTGATCTAAAAATGCCAATTCGTGGGCACATTTTTCATTCTTGTAGAATTAGGTACGATTTCTTGTTTACTGCGCTTTGGTTGGTAAAGAATTCGCCCTTGCGTGCACAGAGTAAACTAATGATTAATTCAATGATTAAAATGCCACATAGAGTTTTAAGATATTTAGTAAGTTTACGTCGCTTTGTCGTCAATAATACCAGATGACAAAAACGTAAATGAAAATTCGTCTTGTGTCACGAGATTGGTTTGAGCCAAGAAAGATACATGAACATATGTCTCTAGGCTTCCCGGCCTGTCGTGCTCGATTTTGACTCTCAGAAAAACAGCGGGCATGAAAACCGTTAGAACTGAATGTTCAAAGATAACTTTGCGTGTATGGTTTTTCATTTTTTTCCTCATTATTAATTTGTCAAATTTGTATGACAGAGCGGGTGGGATTCTTAATTTGAAAAGTTTGATTTGTAGGTTTAATGTAACCTGTGGCGCACCTGAAAACTAGATTTATAATAACGAGTGGTGACTAACTGAAACGAAGTTTCGAGACTTAATCGATGCGCTGCTTAAACAAAAGAAATACATCTTCCGATGCATGTCATAAAGTTTCAATGGTTCTTGCTTACTGATCATCGTTTTCGGGAAAACTCTCTCAGGAATAAAGCCTGGTAAACTCCAGATAAAAGGCAAGTGGAGAAAAACGGGGAGGAGAAGAAAAAAAAGCTAGAAATGAAAACAGTTTTCTTCCTTGCATATAGAACTGAAAGCTAAGTGAAAGCAAGTCCTATATAACTGTATTACATTCTTTACTGATTGATACATTCAGATCATTTGTTACAGTCGGTAATTAATTCATATGCAATTGTTATTTGATGATGATCACATCACGTATGGTTAAATTAATGAGATAAAAGAGAGTTTTTCGTAGGAATAATGTATAAGTACGACTTGGACCTAATGAGATAATGGATGATCTTTTTGAAAGGATGCTGACGATTCTGTCCTTCGCTAGCAGCCTATAATTTGTTGCAGTCAATTGTTTGCAATCGCGCTGACTGGGATGAGAACAATGCACGGATTCTAAGAGAAAAGGTGGACTGCTGTGTCTAGTGTCTAAAAGCAGAAGGAGGTCTAGGGGATTTCTCAAAGTTGTTATTCAAATTTTTTTCGAACTTGTCACCTTAAAAATTACACGTTTTTAAAAGACTGTTTATTACTTTTTAGATGATTTATCGTTCTTCTTGAGCGGATGATAAAACGATTGTGTCGTCTCGTCTAAGGCTTGGTAGTCACTAGGATTAAGGACTCTCATCTGTTCATAGGAATCGTCCCTGGTTTCTCTCTCAAGGCCCTGGTATTGAGTGTTGGGCCTTTCTAAAACGTGATACCTGGGATCCTGCCTATTAGGGACTTCTTGTTGATTCTTTTTACTAACTTCTATGGAAAGGTCCTCGTTAGCTACGCTGTAACTACAGGAATACTCAACACTATTTTCTAAAGCTTGTTGGCCATTAATGATTCGCCTGGGAATACGATTTTTAACAATAATCTCGGATTGAGTGTCATTTTTCTTCGCATTTACTGCTAAACCAACCACTGGTCGTGCTGCTCGGTCAGAAGGTTCGTCGTAGTCGGAGTCTGATCGGAAACGCCCCGGTGAGCGTTCGGTGTGGGCTGACAATTCTTGGGTGTCATTCGTGGTGAGGTCGTTAGGTCCTTCTAGCACCTGATACAAGGGCGAGTTTGGAATGGACTCTGTGTCAGGTAACACTGAAGGCAATACGAAAAGACAAAAATTGACCATGTCAATATGCCCAGAAATTCAAAAAAGAAAAGCAAGTTCATCTAAACAAGTGAGTAAAGGATTGTTTCGGTCAGTTCCTTAAATTATACGGAAGCTATTTAACGGTGGGTGGTGGGAGGGTGGGGCTAATAGCATTTTGCTTGAAAATCATGTTCTCCTATATTTGGCAGTGTGTATATGTTAACAACAACAGTGAAAACATCAAACCTGTAGGTAGAGGCGACTTCTTTTGTTGATCTAAGCTTCCGCTGAAGGAAGAAAGGAAGGAAAAGGAGACTGGTCTGAATACGTAAAACGGAACACAGAGTTCAAAGAACAAAAAAGAGGGGAAAACCGCGAAAGGAAAAAAAAAAATGAAACTGACAGAGATTAAAAACATATGGATAGACGGACGGACGGATGGATGGATTGGATGGAGGGATGGATGGATGGATGGATGGATGGATGGATGGATGGATGGATGGATGGATGGATGGATGGATGGATGGGTGGGAAAAGGAACAACCAAAAGAAGTAAACACTTACATGTTCTTTTTTCTCCAAAAGCAAAACAAGAGAAGCGCCAGAATACCAATAACAACGACAGCACTAGCAATAATGACAGACAACAACAAAGTATCGAGCCTGCTGCTTCCTATTCTCTCCAGTGAGTCCTGAAATTTGACAAAAAAGACTGAGTTGAAACAAAGCAGTGTTTGATTGGAAAAGTTCCTTGCTGTGTTTCCTGATTGGCTAAAAAATAATCTTGCCCCATTTTATTCAACCAATCAGAAGTGAAATGAAGTGGGTAAGCATGCATTTATTTTCTGGCGCTCATGGCTGGCTACATGTAGTTGTTTTGAGATCTGACTGCATGGCTCTTTTGTGTGCCTCAACGAACTTATGCGATTGCGCAGAGATGCACAGAAGTAGATTCTTCGTTTTAGTTTTAGGATGATAAAACGTACTCATGATTCAGCAATAAATGACTTGTAGACGTTGTCATCTCTTATGCCTTAGAAAATGTATAACGAGCCCTTCTTTAAGGTTTCAAAAATTCTATTAATATTTAAAAGAACGTTAACAGTTGTAAGCAACCTTTGTACTATCCTCATTGGTATCCACTCTTGTAAAAGGTGAAGTCTGTGAAGTATCGTTTGCAGCTGAAAATATAAAAACGGAAAGGGTCGAAACATGTTAAGCATAAAGCGTCTTGATGATACAAATTAAGCCTTACCGTGAATGACTTGACTATTGCTAAGATAGTTGGGATAGGTCTGGCAATAAAAAAATTGATGGGATACAAGGACTATCCTTGACTCACTGATACGACCCAAAGTTGCTAATCCATTAAACCAGGCAAAGTTGTAGCAGTAAGCGCTATCTTCGTTGTTTCCAATGACGGTTTTTCTAACACTGCATTGAAAAGTCTTTTTAGGCTATCCAGAGTAATCTTAGATCTCTAGAAATGCATTCTAGTAGGCGGCGCTATAAAATTTATATCTGTTCGGTCATCCTAGGGGAGCTTGAGGCTTTTCGAAATTTCAA